TCTGGGAGTTGAAGTCCACTCATCTTAAAGTGGCCAAGTTTGGACAACACTGTCCTAAAACCTATCCAGGGATCTCCAAGAAGTTGGTGGACCACAGGTTTTGAATCCTTGCCCTTATTATTGTCACTTTGCACCTTGCCCTTCCCTTTGGGCTGGCTGGCTGAAGCTGCAGGATTGTTCTGAGTTCACCAATATCGGCACGGCCGTATCTTGAGCATTCCCAACGTCCAATTTTGCACAACAGTTGCGCCTAGTAGTGCCCCGAGACTTCAGATTAGAGAGCGTGTGCATGCTATACTTAATTCCAATTTTATTCTCTTTGGGCATAGCAGAGGATGGCATCCAGGAGAGAATCACGCTGGAGGAAAACCAAGTTTCCCTGCCTCTCCTTCCGACAACCGTACGCCGGGCTGGTGTTAAACAAAGTCAAAACGATCGAGAGCCGTTGGCGACCGGTGCTGGCAAGCCACCAGGCTGGGACTGTCGCCGTCCACATTGCTTTTAAAGACTGGGAAGATGAAAGCTGGAAGGACATCTTGTTGAATCGGCTCGGGTGGACTCCGGCACAGATTGAAGACTTGTTAGCAGAGGGAGAGAAGTTTGGCAGAGGGGTTATTGCTGGTAAGTCAGAACGACGCCCGTCCCGTAAGCAGCTTTTGAGTTTGGCCCTTTGGCAAAGCAAGGGTAGCAGCCAGATTCACAGCTACCTACTGTGGCATTCAGGAAAAATCATAGTGTAGCCCAATGTTTCTCAACCTTAGCGACTTTAAGATATGTGGACTTCAACTATGGCTGGCTGGGGAATTCTGGGAGTTGAAGGCCACATATCTTAAAGTCGCTAAGGTTGAGGAACACTGGCCTAGCATCTTGTAGGAGTCCAACCTACATTGTTGGTATCTTTTCACATGTCCAAAACCAGCATTGTAGCTGCAAAACTATGATTAAAATAACACCGTAGTATAATCTGGTTTGGTTTCTTTGAAGGCTTGCGACTTTCCCTTTGTGTGGATGTTTTTGGCCACCACTGAAAGCTTTTCAGGACCACCTTATGTACCAAAGATCAGCACGTTCGTTGCCCGTGTGTTTCATTTTCCTTGCACATGTCAGTCCCCTCTGATCGTTTAGGGGGCCCCCAAATTAATTTTGAATATGGCCCAAATCTCCCAAGATCAATGAATCTCAGAAAGTTTTGGTGCTCCCCCTGAAATTGGACAGGATTTTGGGGGGAAATTGCCAAATCTTACAAGACCTCAAGTGTACTCAAACATCTGTAAGGCTTGGTAATTTAGGCTTAGACTCCCTCTAGCAGCCATGGACCACAGACTGGCCTAAGATGTACAAACCTAGCCATTTTGAGTTTATTAGCAAACTGTGATGGAACACAATAGATCAGCTTGATCACAGGTTTGATCGGGTGTGTACATCTGTGAAGATATACATACATTTATATAATTCCTACAATTTGTTGGAAACCAGTTGGAAAACCTCTACCTAAATTTGTCAAAGCCAAAGAAAAAGTTAAATCAAAACCTTTTGCTTTGGGAAAGAAAATTAAATCATGGTTTGGGTCTTTAAATGCAGGTCTGATTGACGTTGGAGAGACTTCCCAGTGTCCTGAACATTTGCCTCCTGAAGACGTTTTGCAGTTGGAAAATAAAGCTGTTCTCCGGGGTCTAGAACAAAAATACTTGACAGTTATTTCCAACCCCAGATGGTTGCAGCAACCCATTCCTGCACGAGGACGCAAAGATGTCTGGCAGGTTGACATCCCGGAGGAGCTGATCCCTTCCCCTGAATCCGGTTGAAGAGAGGCTCTTTCTCCTGATGGTTGGGCCCCTGCTTGTTGAGGAAATCCGTCTCATTTTGAACTGGACGAATCCATCTTTCTGCTGCTCTGAAATACGAGAAGCGTGCGCAAGTGTGACAGAAACTGGAGACGAAGCACTTGACGTTGGAGGGAGATCACTGACCCGTCGAAAGGATTGTGGCTGCTGAGAATACGTGTTGACGCTTTGTCAGGACGTCACCTGTTCAGATATTGATGAATAATTGGTGCATCTGGGATACAATGCGTTGTACATCTTATGCAATATTGTTGTGGTTTGTTTTAGCAAGGGTATACATAGCTATGAATGGAAACAGGCACACTCTTGCCCGGTATCATTTAAGAAACTCCAAGATTCTTGACTCTGTGTCAATTAGATGCTCCCACTTCACTATATTATTGTGACTCCAAGCATTGATTGGAGAACAAAAAAGAGCTGTTGAGTATGAAGGAGGTGGTCTCAGACTTTAAGGAAAGAGTTTCAGCATCGATTGACCCTCGTTTTGCTCCTAGGAAGAGTTCTCCACGTTAAAAGGCAGAGAGAACCCTGATTAATACCTGGGGCTGGGATGTATCAAAGGCAAATTTGTTCCTGTTTAATTTCTATCGGTGGTTCAGCTCAGGGTGTGCCGGGATAAACGTGCGTCAGCTACTGACTCATCCCATTTTAACTTGCAAAAATAGGAAACCGAGCTAACACTATTCTCAACTAAAGGCTTAAGCCTCCTTATCTCCACTCTAGTCCTCCATCAAATTCTCTTTGGCTCTTTTCTACTCAGAGCATTTCTTAATAAAGCCGATGTGTCTTTTCAGGTTAGTTCCCCATCCCCCCTTGCCAGAGAAGCCTACAAACCAAATCACACCCGGGGAAGAGAAGCCTGTGGCCCTTCCCATATTGCTGGTCTCCCAACTCCCTGCATTCCCATGGGCCATGTCACCTGGGAGTTCTTTCAGCCACGTTTGTAGGACCTCAACTTCCCCACTTCTGGTCCTGGAGATGCCTATGATGGGACAGATTCGTTTATATGTCAAGGCAACCTGTCACCCTGCTGTGGATCCTCCATAACGTACGAGATGAATGACATGCTTGGAACTGTTTTTCTATCTAATGGAATCCTGTTCCTTAAAATGCTAAACATTTAAACGTGTCTCTCTCTCCTGGCGGTTTCGTGTCCTATTTTTAATACGCGCTTATGAAATATCTATGTAAACACTTGAAAGCAATTGGAGAATTTGCAGTGTTGAGGGAATTTTTCAAGCCTGAACCAATTAGTGTGAATCTACAATTTTAGAATATCCCTTGGTGCAATAAATTACAGCACTCTGCGGCTCTCAAATCAGTGATCTATAAAGGGGGTTTCAGCAAGTTAAGCAGTTCAAATGTAAATGTAATAGTTTGACCTTTTCCTTAGAACTTGTTATCCTACTTGGGTTATGATTTAACAGGATGAGTGTTCTCAATTTAGATCATGACAGATTTAACTGTACTTCATTCAGAACTGCGGTGTGACTCCTCATCGTTGTACTTGTGATAAATTCAGTATTCAGTGAATTCCGAACTATGCCACAACGAAAGGTGTTATTGTAAGATGGCATAAGGCTGAAGTTCATTTAATCAGAAGCACTGATTTTTTTTTAGTTTTAAAACATATTTCTCTTCCTCCATGCATATATTTATCCAGGAAGCTACATCTCGTAACCTAGGTGGGGTGCCCTGCTTTGAAGCATTTCTTTATTCACATTTTAGATTTCAAACTATCAGCGCGCAATATTACTACAGGATTCCCTTTACCAAATTTAATATTGCTGAACTTCATGGCATCATGCTAAGTAAAAGCAAACACTTCGGGTAATAAATCTGAGGCTCTTAATAAAACGAATGGCCACTTGGTTAATAGGTTTCTTTGAAAATTATGAAAATAGTTTAATGTGCCAAAGTAATGTCCCTTTAAGGTGACAAATGCTAATTGGAGGATGTGAAAACTATCTGGGCCCCACAGTTTATGAATGATGTGCCAGAGGTGGCTTCCCGTGTATACTAAATATTTGCTAGGATTACAGTATTAGAATCTCAGCTTACAGCCTGCAGTTCTTAATTTTTGTCTAGCATCTTTAATAAAGAAAAAGTTCCATGAATATCAAATGAGTTTCAGAGGAAGCAAACTAAATTCAAGACTCTCTTAAATGTTTTAGGCAGTCTTTGATTCATTTAACACACTGTGCCTCTGACTATGGAAAACTCTGGTTTGCTGTATTAAAGAAAAAGAAAAAACCTAGTAAATGGAGCAGAACAAACAAGATGAGTATTATTAAAATCAGTGAACTAGATCAGCCAAGACTAACTTGTCCTGTTGACTTCACAAGATCTTCAAGCTTGATTAAGCCCAGATTCAAGCTGGCAATTTATAAATGCTGTACAGGAAGGTAACATCAACAAAAAAATTAAAACATACTGATGAATTCACCGTTGGTCCTTTGTTAACTACCTATACGCTCACCGTCTTGTGCTTCACCAGTTAAAAAGACTTTTTCCCCCTTTTAGAAAACGTGGAAAAGAGCTAGGCACACAATAAAAATCTGCTTATAACTCAGCCACATTTCGTTTTATAAGTTACTATCACTGAAACATCGAAGTTGGAATCGGTTCCGGTGATCGTTTTCGTGCGATGTAAACCAACTGAAATCTCAGTAAACTGAAAAGATTCTCAGTGTGAACTTAAGAAGTGATTACTTTAGTGTTTCTCAACCTTGGCAGCTTGAAGATGTGTGGACTTCAACTCCCAGAATTCCCCAGCTGTGGGGAATTCTGGGAGTTGAAGTCCACACATCTTTAACTTGCCAAGGCTGAGAAACACTGCCTTATTCTATAGGATACCCACCTTGAAAACCTGCAAGTCACCTTCCCCAACAAATAGTAATGCCCACAAAACAGGTAATTGTGACCCACCCAATATAGCACCATTTCATGTACTGTACCCAAATTAAATCTTTGCGACAACGCTTGGCTCTTCTTTCCAAGCTCCGGTGCCACTCCCAAATCTCTAGATTTTTAACCGGTTCCATTCTCAGGGATCTTGGCTGCAGATTTTCACTCAGATGGCCTCTAGTGTGCTATTTACACGGACTCTCCAGTCAAATGTTCCTAGCCACAATCCACCAACTTCACAATATTCCCTGCAGAGGCCAAGGACTCTGAAATGACTCTTTTTTTTAAGACTACAGATTTTCTTTTAGAATCTGGAACAGGAGTGGAAAGGTATTAATTCAAATCAGCGCAACGACTTCCCTAGCTATTTCTCCTTAATCTACACAGTTAACAAGGAAACCGTTGAGGAAAACACATTCCTCCTGTGTCATCCACGATGAAAGAAATACAAAGAAGTTAACCTAGGTAAACCAGACAGGAAGAACGAAGTTTATTCTTCAGTCCATGCCATGGTTAATTCCCTTCTTTTAAAAAGGCTCAAATGTCTCCAGCAGTCTCTTGTGCTTTATCGATGGTACCCAGCGTATTCTGTGGTTTTGGGTCCCGCTCCTTTGGAAGCAGACTGAGCAGTGGAAGTACAGTTGCAGTTAGGACAGTGGTGGTATGAAGGAGTTCGGTGGTGATGGGAAGATCTCGACATAGAAATGGCCGAAGCGGCAGCTATCATTGGCATGGAGAACCACGGATTGCAAAATGGGAGAATGCTGGCCCAATGAGCTTGCATGGCTGATAAGTCTGGATACATGGTTGGGAAAGTGGGCAGCCCCATCATTGGTGCAAAGGGACTGTTGGGTACAGGAGGTATGACGTGATACAAAGAGGTGGCGGATGTGGTGGTGGTGGAATCGATCTCGTGTGTGTTGACTCGAGCGTGGTTGGTATGCTGGGGCAGATGGAAAGGTGCCAGCTGGTTTATCTTGTTATCAGTGTCCTCAGGTGGCCCCTGATCGGAGGCCCTTAAAGGGGTTGGAGAAGCAGCAAATCCACTCCTAAGCCGACCTACTGTTCCAGCAAGGCATTTTGTCACTGTAGGCTTCCGGAGACCAGATTTATGCATTTTGTCCTTGGGGGACGTTGTAAGGAAACTGTTGTCCCTGGAAGAAGGTCCCAGAGAAGTTGGACCTTCTGGGCTTCTTGACCTGCTCTTCAAGCAGATTTCACTGAAATCTTCCTCTAATGAGAAAGCAACAGGTGGTGTGTTTTTGATCCCAACTCTTCGCTTGCACCTCGTGAGAAGGTGAGGACATCCTCTCTTAAAATTTGGGTTATGGTAGAATTGTAGCTAGAATGGGAAAAAAATAGGAAGAGAAGTGGTTAACCTTCTATGGATGAATAAAAAGCTAATACAACTAAGGCTTTTCTTTTTGTTCATCATTTCTCGATCTTGCCCTGAAGATAGGACTTTCTTTCAAGCCCAACATACAAATATTGTAATCTCCTTAGTCCTACACTCAGAGGAGTGCATTAATTCAGAATTCATGGACACTGGCATTGAAGATAAGGACAAACAGGTATCCATGTCAGCACTGAAGTTTCTAAGGTGTCATTAAAAATCGTAAATATCAGTTCAGATGGACATATTTTTGGAAGATGTAATTCATACACAGTTCCTCTTAAATGGGGAGTCTAGAAGGAGCAAAGTGGTTTGCATGTAATTTTCCTGATTTAGGGTCAGAATTTATAATGGCCAACTTACAGTCCTCTTCAAGGAGACAGAGCAGCATTGTAGCCTAGAAAATAACATGAGCATAAGGGTAGTGGTATTGCCCAAATGTTAGGGGTGCAGCTAGCAATATTAAAGGGCAAGGTGAGTGCACAATGAAGGAGAATTTAGGGGCCCAGCTAAAAGCCTCTAACCAAATCTGTCTTTCAGGGAAAATACCACTGCCTCGATATAAGGGGTCATGACAGAAAACACTATCCCAGGGAAATTAAAATTGTCAACTCAGCCATAAAATATTAAGAAGGCCAAGGAATGCTGACGAGCTGGGAAAAGATACTGGTATTCAGAGTTACACTCAAGTGGCTTCAGTGCACGTGATGTGTTATTACCGAAGTAAATACCTGGTCGCTCTATCCAATCACTTGTTTTTATACGTCTATATAGAGTGACTGTAACCCCACTTCTCTTTGCCTCTGATGTTGTGAATAAGCCAGTTTGTGTTTCAGTGTAATGGGTCCTGGTCTCTGGTTCAAACATACCCCTAAAAAAATTCTACTGCAAGAACTAAAATCAAGAAACAAGTCTGATGAACCAAAATGAACACAGATTGCTAATCATCACTGGAATCAAACTCTATCATTCAATTCTAATGACTTCCACAGAAAACTATTTTATTCTTTGTTTAAAGAAATACTTTAAAATACTTATTTTAAATCAACTTAATAGCAGAGTGTCACTGAATTGGTATCTGCTTGCAGGAACAGCTGGGAAACGACAGGGTTTGTACGCTTCTTTTCTGTACATGTCCATGGACATACTTGGTAGCGTATGCCATTCGACCTGGTAACACTTACCTCTAAGCAGACATAGAAAGGACTCTGTTTATTTAAAGGTATTGTTCCCAAATGTAAGGACAGTGCTGCTTGGTAACATGGAAGGTAAAATGTTCATCTAAATATCCACGAACTGAATAAATGCTGTATTTTTAATTGCTGATCTCAAGTCACACTTTTGCCTTAAGTTTTAATTCTTCGAAGAAAGTTCAGCAGGCAACGTGAACTAAATCAAAACGTTTTTAAGCCCCACTTTTGAGTAGAAAAGAAATATTTCAAATATGTCTCACGAAGTCGGTTCTTTTAGATGGCACATACCCAATGAATTGGATTGAGATTTTAACCTGCTTAGTAGATCCACTGAAAAAGGAAAAAAAATCAGTGCGTCTTTTAAGGCATGAATGAAAATGGATGCTGTTCAGTGTTTTCACCAAAAACTAGAACCATATCTGATTGCAATAGATACCCTATGCTTTGGATGTATTTAACAAGATTTACTGTAATATGGGTTTAGCCTATTTGTTTTAAATGGTTTTAATGAATAAATTATATTATTTAGTTTTGTTTTAATTGTGTACGGCACCCACATGAAAGTGAGGTGGGTAGCTACATAAATTCAATAAATGAATGAATGATGCATCCTGCTTGCAGAAAGAAGACGGTATATGCCATCTTTGTTGGAATGCGCACGTTCAAATACACATAGGATGTATTTTAGTACATCAAATAAACTAAGAGTTATATTCATTTCTTTCCCTTTTTATGCACCAGGATATCTAACACGGAAGGTTGATTATACCACCACCATTGCAACGGAATATAAAACCAAAATCACATTTTTTTTGTTTGCTCTACAAGCTGTAATTGCAACAAGAGTATGCTCTGAAGTAGACTTTTCCAACTTATCCAGAACAGCTTTTTTGCCATAGCAGAAATACTGCTTTTATACAGAATAGAATTAGCACCAATCAGCTGTCACAGTGGTTCCGCAGAATTGGCTCATCCAAGTATCTGCTCCTGGCATACCGAATAAACTGTCTTTTAATGGTTTAATGGTAACGACTCACAGGCTGGAGAAATCTAGTACATAAAGCCATAAGACACTTACTCATCCAAGAAGCAGTAACTGCCTGGGTTCACACAATATACTGGTCCATCTTGTGTGAATTTAGCCACAGTAGTGTCCTATTGTACATTTGGGTGGTTGCAACAAACCTATCCTGTATTCAGTTAGCACCTTCCCCCCCTTCAATGAAACAAATCTTTCGTTTACAGGCATAGCTCCCAGGAGAGGAAAAGGAAAGATCATGTTCCTTTGTCAATTAACTTCATGATGATATATACAATATTTTTTGAGTCACGTCCATCCACAATTATGACATTTCTTTTTGTAGGGGCCCAGGAACCATTTGCATTCTGTACTTGTGGGGGAAGGCAGGCGACGGTGTGGGCCCAACATGGAAGCTAAGGGAAGGCGAAACCACAATTCCTTGTTTTGCAAAAGCCGTGCTAGGCCTTACCTTGCTAAACGCGTAAGCGGCTTTTTCTTCCGCTAAAAATTCAACGAGGGAGGCCGATCTTTGGAAATTCTGCCTCATCTTGCTAAAGCCGTAGAGGTTCAGCTGACGAATGAAGCTCTTCATGCAGTCAGTTTCAAAGATGCGCAAAGGCCCTTTCCTTTCCAGCACCTCCTTCTTGAAAAGCTCTTCGTCGATCACCACGCAGTTCCCGTCATCGTCCCACCACAGAGACTTAAACTGATCGCTTTCGACGATCTTCCAGAGTTTCTTGGGGAAGGTGAGGGATAGAAAATCATTGTCTTCGAGAGCGCCTTCTTCACAGAGTGCAAGGCGTGGCCGTTTCGCCCAGGGCCCATCGCTCAGAGCTTGAAAGGCATTTTCTTCTATCATAGACCTCAAAGCAAAGTCGCCGGCTGCGGTTTTATCATGCAACGGAGTGGAGGAAATTGACATTGCAGGAGGAACCATTTCATCTTCAGCTGAAATAGACTGAGTTTGCACAGTGGGAAGATCTGTATCCAATTCCCTCTTATCACCCAGGTAACTTTCAGCTGTAGCCATTTATGCTGTTTGTCAAACCATGCCGATAAGGTGCCGGCAGGTCTATTAAAAATGATGCTAGCTGGCAGGAGCTTCAAGAAGGAGTTCTAGAACATCACAATGCTTATCTGGTGCAGGTGTGACATCACACAATGAATGCTGGTTTCCTAGCAAACGAGATCATAATGACAGGAAAAGATACTGAACTGAGCAACACTTATTGCAGCTGTACTGAACAAGGAAAGAGGGTTGGGCGGGAGGAAAGAGAGGAGTTGAGTTATATAGCCATTAACACCCCCCCCCAGCCCTTATAAATTGCCCATCAAGGCCAACAGTGGAGATACAGTACGTGGAAAGATCCCATATTGTTAATTAAAACAAAGAGATCCTTCTATGCAGCTGCGGACGCTGAAAAGGAAATTCAAGATAAGAGAATACTGCATTTCACCTCCAGAACCAACCTTAATATTTGCTAAGAAGGTGCAAGTTTATAATGCAATAGGGAGATTTTGGAATCTAAAACATACCCTTTAACTTATGAAGGGCAATTTCCAGCTGAAAAGCCGAGTTCTCTGACAGATGTTGCATCAAAAAAAGCTGTCCTCTTCCATTAGGGATATTGCAGAATATTTTGCACAAACTCATGCACTATTCCCCAATTCTCATCACAACTACTCTCTCCATCCTCCTCGTGTATTTTCCTGCTGTTGTGGCAGGGAGCATTTTCCTAGCATTTGTACAATGCCTTTTCTCTTTCTCCTTATGTTACTTTTTTCATGTTTCTGATCCTGATGGTAATTCTAAGAAACTCTCACATCAGTAAAGTCCTCCTTAAATAGATCCTATCTGACTCCCTTTCCACCTCAGTCTAAACAGACATTTCACACAAAGCCACTCCCAGCTGACTTTTTTCACTGTTTGCAAGAAAATATGCTTGCAGAATTCCGTATGTTGGTAAGCTTCGTACAAAAACAAAGAACTCGGCAAACTTGGGGATGCTTTATTGAACAGGCAAAAAGTGAGGGTGTGAGAAATCAGTATTGCCCAATGGTAACATTTAACAAAAGTGGAAAGGCAACTTTTTGGAAAGACGGCAGTTTCTCCCCCCACCCCACCTCTGACGGTACAAAGATTACAGCTATTTACAGAATAATTTACATACCTTTTTCAAGGCAATTTAATCCGGTAGCGGAAGAAGAAGCATCAACAGTCCTACCCGAGGACACGTCTGAATAGTAACATTCATGGTTCAAGGGGAAAATCAAAAGGCATGAGGAGCCTTGGGTACGGTACTTCAACAGAAATGGAAGCCGAGAGGGACACAAAATAGACCACGCACAAGTGATTACGCATTTCATACAGCCTTTTAAAAAATACTTTTACATATTTATACTGTACAGACTTTTTTTAAATATATTACATTGCCAAAAGTTCATATAAATACTATATACAGGGGAGCATGACTTCCACCAGTGAGGAAGGTTCACAAATCAGAAACCTCCTTTCTGTTTCTCCAACATACATACAACCCACTCCAGGACAGCTTGAGTGCGAAAGGCCTTCGTGGGTCTTGTCTACGTGGAAGGGTGGAGAGTTTGGGGTGGGGTGGGGTATCGTGAAACTGTATTACCGGTGGCGAACGGTGACTTGGACACTCAGAATTGAACACAAACCCAAGACTGACGTTCTGTCAACAGAGACTCAATGGTTTCCATTTGTGAACCTTGGCAGAATTACTGTTCTCTTTCCACTTTTATGGGTGTGGCATTTTGCACGCAAGCAGATGGATGCTTCTGAAGGAAATGACATTAATACAAATCTACATTACAAGCCACCAAGGACCAAATCTCTAGCCATAAACAAAGTAAGACAAAGGCATGAATTAAAAAAAAAAATGTTGGCCACAGATACCCAGTTGTGATTTCACGGGGAGAAGTCTGTCCTTTTCCAGTTCACTTTTTAATCCGGCATATCAATATTTAGTTTGGGAGGTGGTATAACATACTTTCCAGGACTCTGCGTAATGACCACCCCGGCCTTTTTTCGAAACATTGGAGCGATTTTGGGTGGTTCGGGGACAGGGGTTTCTTCAGTTTCCTCATTATCTTCGTGATGTAAATCGTAAGAAATGTTGCCATACTCCCTCAGGAATGGGAAGATCTCAAGGAGAAACTGGCAGAAGTCTTTGCGAATTCCAAACCACCCTGCGCAAAGAAAGTTGTTGACAAAGTCAGTCCCCAACCCAACTGAGGAGTCCCTCTTCCCCCTTTCACTGGAATCACAGTAGGAAGGAGACACAGCTCCACCATCACACACTTACAATGATTGCCCCCTTTCTGTCCGAATGTGGTTGCCATTAAAGTGATCAGCGAAAGCCAAAGCGGGACAAATATGGGTATGTAGGAGAAGGTGTTATGTCCATCCAGTCGGTGCACAAGCAGGATCTAACAAGACAATTGGACAGCTTCAGTATCGGGGGAGCTGCAGTCTAGCTAGCATTAAATCCTTCTATGCATCAAACTGAAATGGCTGTGGGCAACATTAATGAGTGCGAATCTTCCAACCTTTCTGGAATATAATTGCACAGATAATCTGACAACATAAAATGGATGCACAGGCCTAAGGGCCTCCTTACTCATCCCTTGTGTTTCAAAGAGGCTTCTTTGAAAACAGGAACCAGATAGAAAGCAATTCTACACCAGATGAGCAATTTAAAATATGGGCAGCTTCAGTATGCTATCAGGCTCCTGGAGTTACAAAAACAGACCAAAAGTTGGGGGCCATGTGCAAAGCAAGAAGTTTCACCTGACATGCAGGCCTCAAGTGTACAGGTTCAAACTCTACTCTGCTATCAGCCGAAATGGAAAGAATTATACAAAATTAATGTCAATATGCACATCAATTTAGGATAGAAAGTTCCCAGAGATCACAAAACTCAGGGTTTTTTGATATGGGACTTAGGGTAGGAAAAATATGTGGCCCTTCAGATGCTGCTAGACCACAATTCCCACAATCTCACAACGTGAGAGATGGGGTTTGCCTACCTCAAAGGTGAGTAACGGAACCACGATGGTCATCCAGCTGACTGCCATAGTAATGTGCGTTCTTCTTTGTTCAGCAATCACATCCATCGAGCGTAAGAATAAGACAGACCAGACAATGTAATACAGCACAACCAAACAGAGAAAAGACATCAGGATCCACAGAGGGACACAAACCACCTAGAAATTGAAAGGGGGGGGAGACAAAGTCACCTATCGCTCAAAAGGATTACTCATCTCCATTCTACGCATCACATATTTAAAAATCCGAGTTCTAGCAGTGAGTATGAATAAGTTTCGAAGTGAAGTGTTAATATATTTTTAGCAGCATGCAAGGGTTTTTTTTGCTTTAGCATTCTATAACATGCTTTCTATGGTTTTTAACCCTACCTCCCAGTCCTACCTACAGGCCTGGAATTTCCCAGCAGAATACCACCCAAGTATTAACTAGGTCTGCTTAACTTTTACAGATGTTGATGATTTAGATTTATTAGAGTTGCTCACTCCGAAAGACTCAGCTGCAACTATGTCATAATTTAAAAACCTATATTCCTTATTTTGGTATCCCAACTGCTGCTTGCGTAACAGCCCTGACATTCTGAAAAGAGAATTATATATAATTGCACTTTACGTACAAGCCATGGCCACTTGATAATTTCATCCAATCGGAGTGCAATAAATATGAACTGGAGAATATTGACGGAACACAGGATTTCCAGCTAGGAGAGAACAAAAGCAAACTCATTACAATCAAATGGATTTTGCTACAACCAGTAATGAATATCTTGCTTGTTGTAGCAAAGTACAAGTTACGATGTACCTTGCAACTTACCGCAGGATATTCTAGTTGAATAGAATTTTGCTCTTCATTTAATGAGGGGAACATCAGTCAATTATGTGTGTGTGTGTGTGTGTGTATAAAAACATAAATATTCTGAATTATAACTTATAGCCCAACACCTCTAAAGAGCACTAGATTGGGGAAATGTCACACTGCCCCAAAGGCACACAAACCAATAAATTATGTACACAAGGACTCCACAACTTTACTAAAAAATTATTTGGAACTAGTATTCAACTATGATCCACTCTCCAGTTTTCCAACGGTGACCATCCTCACCTCCAGAGATCTGTCATGCCGGAAGCCCCACACGCAAGCAGCCACTGATACTGGAGATACAAAGAAGAGGGGCATGAAGACCAGTAGCCAGAAACGGGTTCCTCTCTCGATTCCATCACAGACCAGAACTTCAAACATCAGCAGAAGAAGGTGGATACCGACAGCAATTAACATGGCTTTGAACTCCACACATGTTTCCCCTTCTGCTCTAAAGAGTGGGAGTTAAGTTTCAGTTCTGTTAGTTCACACTACTAGTTCACCCCAACATTCCCTGACATTTGGCTGAGCTTGGTCACTGAGCATTACCCGTTTCCAAGGTGAAGATGCTAGGCATGGGAAAGAAACACTTTGGCTGGTTTCATCAAACATGCTAAACAAAGAACAACACAATTGCTATGTTTGTGTAGTATGTGATGCCCAACAGAGAAACTGAAATGTGGCTGGATATGATACCCAGGTTCACACAATGTACTAAGATAATGCTTGGATTCCCATAACATGCTGAATAACAAACTACACAACCCCATTTTCATTTAGGTTTATGCCTTGTGTGAATCCACTCTATTATTTATTAAAAAAACAAAACAAAACAAAAACCAAATATATATCCAAGGCATGTCCCCTGGTTCAGTAACTACAGTTATATAGTGATCCAAAGATGGCCCTCTTTTGGTAGCTACTTGGAGACATATATCACAAAGGGATCAAGCGTGTATGACAATGGTACCTACACAATTGTTCATCATGGGACGTACATGAATCTTCAAAAGACCATTTGCGAAAATAATCATGCTGCTCATAAATAAGTTCGCAAAGTAAGTATATGTTACTCTTACCGATATTGTGGGTTTCGGGCCCATACGCCAGTTCCGACTGAGGCACCCACAATAACCATTAATTTCCACAGCCATATTGGAGCAAACACTGCCCAGTAGCTCCACTCAATCTTGTCATCCAACCGGAGAGAAAGCAGAATTGAGAACAGCAGCAGGCAGGCATAAATAAGAAATTTGCTATGGAAGAAAAAGAAAAAGAAAAAGGTGGTGGTGGGGGGGATCACTTTCTGACATTATCACCTTCAGAATCTTTATCTGTATGTTGTATTTCACAACCAAAGACTGAAGACATAAACCAAAGTTGAACTGGAGACAGCAAAGATTTCTGATAGGGCATTGAAACTTCTAATTTTGAATCCTTTTCAGCAGCTTGCAGTATACTTTAAAATCATAATTTTATCTCCCTGTTTCACTAATGCCAAGATGGTACGATGTTTTAGACTAAAACATATGACTTCCTACTTTGCCTCAAAGCTCTTTAGAAAACATCTGCAGCACTGTCTACTGAGAATGAAAATGTTTTCCACATGTACTACTGAGATTTAGCATGATTCTAGTGATGCAGAGAACCACACATTTATAGAACTAGCAAACTATGAAAGAAAAAGAACAGCTGTCTTATCCCAGAGAGATGAGATCCAGCACTGTGAGATTTCATATAGCAACACCTCATATGCACCAAGCTGTTTTGCCTTCCCAAACTACAACTGTCTTGCAATATATTGCAATAAAATCAAAGTTCACTGGGATGAAAGCAAATTCAGCTCCCTCCAGGACCAATGCTCCCCCCCCCCCACCATTTTGACCAAGGGAGAACTTTAGAGGGCTTTGTTTCTGTTCCCATTATCCATAGCTCATTCCGTCCTCCAGAATGGCTACGTCTGAAAAAGACCGGAATGGTATTCTGCCCGACTGCTGAACTGCTTTGAATGCACTTCAACCTAAGCTTCCATGCTTTTCAATTATCAGTGGAATTCCGGATACTGGGAAAGTTTCAGATACTTTCTAGTCTCTTAAGATGCAGCTGAATAGCATGGCAACGGTTCCACAGGAAACCAAAATGGACCTCTTGGCTCCACAAATGGAGTTTCTGTGATCCGGCGCATGACCCTGAGTGGTAAAAATCACACAGACACCAGGTAAAGACGCATCTCCTTTAATGCAGTGCTTGTACTTCTCTTGGTTAAAAAAATCGTTAGCAGGGAATACAACAGCCTTTCTTCAGCTGCCTCCCCCTAGGAAGCTGACTAACACGACAGCAGCTGTCTTCAAACTGTCATTATTCAGTCAACACAAAGGAGAGAAGATTATGAGTTGAGAAGCTGATGCCGACAGCGACGGCTCATCTTCTGAGGAGCTGCAATTACAGATGTATTTAAAACAAGAGCGAGAGGGTGCAAGGAGAACAGCGTCGTATTGAAGCGATTCTCAGATGATTGGTTTTATTTGTTGTAGCTTTATGCCACCTAATAATGGGATCTTTCTGGACAGCTTAATGCCAAGAGGATAATGAGTGAACTTGGTGACGTTCTTTGGGTGCAGTAAGGCAGACAGGCAATTTATGGGAGGGCCACAGTCGTCAGACGTATCATCAGGTGAAATAAGACTGAGGGAGTGGAAAGCAGTTTGGGGAAGGGCATGCTAGAGACATTGGTTATTGGATTGTCTTAAGCTACAAGCTACCCATCAGATGTGTTCACTAAAGGCACAAAGCCCAGCAACATTCCCTATAGGGCATGCACATGACAGCATTCTACTCTCTTCCTCAAGATGCAATATAACAAGGAGGGTGAGTTATTTGCATCAAGGCATTTCCATAGCAAGAATGCTGCTCTCTCAAGTAACTAAAGAAATCTGCATATGTAAGGAACCCAATGTATTGGAGCCAGAGTTGCTAAACCGCCTCTCTGCCCCACTGTGCCATCTTGGAAACCCAAAAAATCTTCCCACTAATACAGCACACAAAGCAATAACTCTTGAAGCACAGAACCAGTGAGTGACCAGGCAAGGGTTCCAAATCTGTACTGACAGGCTCCCTTCTGTCCTGTTTGGCTCTCACAGAGCTATCTGGCAGTGAAAGCCCAGTAGCAGTCATGACTGGGAAGCTTTCCCCAATGTTTTTAAAAGGGCTGAGCAAACTCCTAAGGCTCGATTTGTACTCCGTGGTTTACCTGATCTGTTAAAACACTCTTAATACAACACCCAGCTCCTATCTTCAGAAGGCTGCAGAGCCAAGGACTAGCCTAATTAGCGAAAATGAAGAAGGATGGAATCCACAGTGCACAGGATGTAATATAAAAGGAAGTTGCCATTTTTACAAGAAGACTTTTAAGAGAAAAGTAGGAAATTGTTCTTCCTTCTATAGGGATAAGCAGAAACTAAAAGGGTCAAAACAACCAATTCTGAAAGCTCTTTCCTGTTTAATGGGCTATTATTTTACTTGTATAGTTTCCTCTATTCCAAGGACTTGGTGTGAAGTTCTATAAACACTTGTTGAAACTACAATTTTACTCTGTAAAACAGAAGGCAGTCTGTACTCCTCCCAATGCTTCAGATTCCTCCAAATTCTACCAGCATGACCAACAGTCAAAAATGATGGGGGCTACTGTTCCAACACCAGAAGCGTGCTTTAAAACAAACTATTTTAAAACCCAGAACCTTATTTTTAGATTACTTTCCTGGTGCTATCAGCATATTTTCTGTCCCAATAGGTAAGTAAGAACCTTTCCTCATTAGGACAGTTTCTTTTCCTCATCCTTAAAAACTACAGCCCTGTGGCAAAACAAGCTTTGACTTTCCTTTATTGTCTAATACTTATGATTTGAAAACAGCTCAGAATATGGCGTAATCCAGGGTTCCTCAACCTCGTCAACTTTAAGA